TATCAGTGACAAATTATCAAACATTGATAATTGCTGTTTTTGAAGGTTGCATTTTTGTTCAAAAAATGGCAAACAACGCAGCCTTCTCAAAACTCGATGTGAAGATAATTGCCGGTTTTTTGAATTTCTGCAAAAATTTTGTTCTAAAACACTTTTGGAATCAAAAAACTTTTCTTTACTTGTTTTCGTAATTTTACAGTCTGTAAGTTTAATTACCATCATGGAGATCGGTGCAAAGCTTTCAGCTTGCTACGGAGTTCCTAACTAAGAAAGAGTCGTGAGGTATATAAGTGATGTCATCAAGCAACGTAAAATTTTTGAAAAGTGATGTTTGCATACAAAAGATCAATTTTTGACTTCTGTAAAATTATTCATTTTGAGTGAAAGAAATAAGGTTATAAATTTAATTGAACTCTTTCAAGACAAACAGTAAAAAAAATTTTTATACAGGGAAAGTAGTAGCTAAAAGCACTAGTAAGAAATACAAAAATTGTTCAAAAAGAATTAAAGACAGCGGTCGACAAGAAAGTTCAAATTTTTATAAGCTTTTCTTCCTAGATCGACTTTACTCTGACATCTGGCCGCCTAAACCAAACATTCAAATTTTTAAGTTTTTGGAAAGACTCTAAAAACCTCTGTGCATTTGCCCAAATATTTACTGACAAATACATCAGTTTCACAAGTAATTTCTAGGAGACACGACCGCGTTGCCTTGTACACTCAAAGCTTATCATTGCTTACTGAGAGAATGTTGGAAATGTGACATAATTTCAAATTACATCTGCTATTGAAAAGCTTTTAAGAATATATTAGGTCAAAGTAGCTTAAGAAATAAACATTTTTGTGAATCTCGGTTAACTGTGACATCTCCTTAAGTAATTTGTTGCTGTCTTTTTGACTTTGAAACGTTAAATGGTTTATTTTTATTACTTGTAGCTAACTTATCGTCATGAAGCAAAAAATTTCGCTAGAACACTCACTGTAACAAAATTATTAAAAAACTTAAAATTAAAAATTAAAAATTTAAATGCAGAACAAAACAAAGACTCATTTATTAATTTGGACGTGACAAACCCGGCCGTTTTCTTCTCGCGCTTATCGTTTATCCTGTTTGTTTTAGCACGTGTTTGTTGTATAACTACTATGCGTAACGTCATTTACTGTTTTCGTTGAATTTGGATCTTCAAAAGCCTTTCGGGTAGTCATTGATATATCTGAAACTTTCGTTTCACGCGCTTATTTGATTTAATTCCGTATGCGATGGTGTCGCGACTCGAACTTTGATTGATTGCAGCAACGCATTGAAAAGTTTGTAAAATAAGCCTTAACAGTCTAAAGCAGCTTAGTTATAGATTAGGTAGAAATACTTTTCCTTTTCACAGTTTTTTACATGCATCGTTTTTATATCGTCAGTGGCTCAGTAGTAGAATGCTTATATCTTTGTTTGGCTCTGCAATTACAGTTTTAACTTTAAATTTTGAGTTTTTAATAATTTGGTTATATCAAATGTTCTAACAAAAGTCTTTGCCTAATGGCGACATCCTCCACTTCGACGAGAACTTTCTGGAGATGCTGCATCTATAATCATTGCTATTCGTTTCGTTGATAACACTGCTTGGTTAGCTGTCAGAGACTTTAACGCGATTTGTCCTGTCTTCCTCAACTAATGTTGTTCGTATCTTTTCTCCACAACTTTTAAGCTTTGCGATAAACTTATTAGACCCCTATTTGATATACTTTTCGCTCTATTAATCATTTTTACTTTTTCTTAATCATTTTTTTTGAAGCAAATAAAGTTTTAACCAGAAAGTGCTAAAGCATTGCCTTTTTTAAAGCACACCAAAGTAGTTCTTGATGTCACTAATTTGGTAACAGACATTGGCAGTCATTGCTAAAAATGTTCCTTGCATTAAAAATATTTCTTTTTTCAGTGTTTTTTTGTCAAAAAACTCTCGTTATTAGTCGAAATAATGAGAATATAGTTTAACATCAAAGTGTTTGAAAAAGAAACTAGCAAAAGTTTTGTGAGCTACAATAATGCTTTCCGTAGCAAAATGCAGCTTTTTTTGGTTTTGATTTAAGTCAATACTTTTTTTAAGATCAGATTGTTAAGAAGACTTGAGTAGTTTATGCTTGTAGTTTTGCGAAGGTTCAAATGTTATGGTTGCTGAGGTTTGTCCAAGCAGGTGGTTGAACGTTTTTGGGAGTCATATTTTGACAAGAAAAATTGTTGAAGAGAAGGGAAAGGATGCTTGAAAGCACAGGTAAGTGAGTGTCTTCTAAATTAAAAAAGTAAAAGAATTTTTTAACAGGTTTTTATTACGCCATTCTGATTCAAACTGGTGTTTTTTTTTTTGAAACTGTCTCTTACTAAGCGTTTGGAACAGAGTTCAAGATTATTTTTAAAACAGGGTAAAGAAATTACTTAATTACACTTTCAAGACTCTGGTGTGTCTTTCTGCGGCTGTGGAAAGTAAGTTTCGCCTTTTGTGTCTGAAAAGAATTTGCAAGTTTATTTGACATTAAGATATCGATATGCGAAGTATACATTACGATTTGATTTTGTTGGTTTTGTTTTTTGCTTTTCACATGATATGAATGTCAACGTGTATCCTAAAAAATTATTTCTAAAATCTTACTTCCTTGCTTATTTCGTAATTTAAAATTTTCTGTGGAAACTTCTTTGTCAAAACCAGTAGACCTTATGTAGTTCTAAAGACTAGCATTACTTAATTGTTTTGAGAATATGTTGAATAAAAGCGTTTCAAGAAAATATAAAAAGGTTAAAGAGCGCAAATTCTTAGATAAAAGAAAAGATTTCTTTTCTTATCTCAAAGAGAATACGTTTCCGCTGTCATTAACACCACTTAAAATTTTGTACTGCCGGGCCAAAAAGAAGACGGAATATAGCAGCGTGGTGTAAACAATCTCCACACTCTGTACCGTCAATATATCACCTCTCAGCTTCGAAATTTGATATGTTAAAGATAATTGCTGGCATTTGACCCTGTCACTTAAATTTAAACCAACAAGCACAATAAAAATTGGCGACTTAACACTTTATCTACAAGTTCTTTCTATTATTACAGTTTTGATTACTTTTTCTCAAAAGTCAAGTTTTCCCAAGTACGAATTGTTACATTTAAGCACACT